CTGGGACGTGGAATTTTTTTTCCCCTTCTTCTTCTTCTTCTTCTTTCTTTCTTCTCTCAGGGGCACCCACCCATTCCCCCTCCTTCCTCCTTCCTCCCTTCTCTTCCCTGCACCCATCCTCCGCGCACACCCACCCATTCCCCTCCTTCTCTCCTCTGCACTTACCAATTTACCGCGATTGCTTCTTCGATTGGGAATTAGGGTTCTTGGGTTGCATTTCAGATTGGGATTTTGTAAAATCGAATTGGGTTTGGTTGTTGGGGTTTAATTTGTGTTTGCAGATGGCCCGCACCAAGCAAACTGCTCGGAAGTCCATCGAGGTTTAATTTGTTTTCTTTCAATGTGTTGATTCTATTTGTGTACCTTTTGAATTGTGGGTTGTGTTTGGTTTCTTTGATTTCGAACTGGGTTTGTGGGAAAATATTGGATTTTGAGTTGTGGGTTGTGTTTGGATTGTGGGATTGTGTATTGGGTCGGTGGAGAAATGTCGAGTTCGTCGAAGACTGAGGAGGTTTCAGGCCAGAGAGGGATGAGGACGGCGGAGAAGCCGTCGAACTTCACTCAGACATGCAACATGCTTTGCCAGTACCTCAAGGAGAAAGGCAACTTTGGAGATCTGAATCTTGACATGGCGTGCAGAGGAGAGAAGGGATGGAGAAGGAAAGGAATGGGTGGGTGTGCGTGGAGGATGGGTGCAAGGAAGAGAAGGGAGGGAGGAGGAGGGAGGGGGAATGGGTGGGTGCCCCTCTGAAGAGAAGAAAGAAAGAAGAAGAAGAAGAAGAAAATAAAAATTTCACGTCCCTGAAGAGTAGAAAGAAAGGAGAAGAAAAAAGAAAGAAATAAAAAATATATTAAAAAAATCCACGTGGACCCACGTGCCGCCCAATCATTGTCCACATGGGCACCACGTCATCACTTAATGGGAGAATTAACAGTTTGACTAACGGATGTATGAGATTGTCCCAAAATTTACACTTTAGGTATGACTCTGGGATGAAAAAAACTTGATGTACTAAATGTTGAAAACCACGAAACATGAGGGTAGTAAACAGTCTTTTGCCCTTAATTTTTCTTGCACAAGCGATATTGAGAGAAAAAAAGAGAGGAACCGAGCACATATCCTTGAGTATAAACATAAATGAGAAATAACTTCCATTATGTATTTGTTTTTTCATTTTGCACACTATTGTCAGTTTTTATCATTTAATTTTTCTTGGGTTTATTTAAAGGAAAACCAATGAAAAATGCTTGAAAACTTTGAGTTTTAACACAAAATAAAAGATAAAGTGAATAGCATAATGATTGATTTTTTTGTGTAAAAATATGGTTTTTCGTTAAAGTGAACAGTACCAGAAACTTTTTGTTAAAGTTCCCTTTATTTAATCTAGTGACCAAAAAATAGTATCGGTGTCCTTTCCATGTTACATTTTATGGTCCATTTATTCTTAGTTTAACATTAATTCATTGAATCTCGTAAAACCCTCATCCAAACATACACCCTACAAAACTATAATTCTAGTGTTTGTTTATTGTTTGTTTTAATCATCAAATATCTTCAATATGTTGTGACAATTTTTATTGGTGGTCCGCGGGAAAAAAAAAAGTGAATCGTTCTCAAAGAAGATGTGGGAAAGCAAAGGGCAACCTCTACCAGAGCCAGTCTTGAGAATTTGAGGAATCTTAGGCGAGCCTTTAAAGTGCGGTCTTAGAATTTTCTGATTCTTGACCCTTTATATATATATATATATATATATATAAGGATTTCCTACATACATAAAAATGTCTATTTCTACATCAAATGTCTATTTTTTTTTTAAATTGTAAATATATATATATATTTTTTTTTAAATTTAAAATTGGCGGCCATCCAGAGTGGTGCCTAGGTGGGCACCTACTTCGGATACTCTCAGGGCCTGGCCTCTACCAATTGATAATCCCTGCACAAAATTTGTGTTAGTAGCATAAAAGATATTCCTAGATAATACTTCACTCACCAACAGGAAGAGATAGGGAGATAAAGCGTCCGCTTATGTACCCTCTTGATGGGTTAAAAAATTTACCCGGCCTCCCATTAATCACCATTGACATGGATATAGATCTCACACATCTCAGAAGAGGATCCTCTTCGGATCTACTTTGTGGAGATCCTGGGGATCCTCACATCTTAGCCGTTCATAGTATGTTGTGCGGTCATTTTTTTTATCAGGTACTATTTGTGTTTAATTTTAAATAAAAAAAGTCAAATGATTTCTAACCGCATGATGCACAATGAATGACTAAGATGTGAGAATATTCCCACAATTTGGATCCGGATGGAATACAAATCCACACAATTCATCACCAAAGCCACCCAAGTACTATCGTACCCCATCCTCAACATTGTCTATTCCAAAATGTCACATCCACTATAATATAGGCTTTATTCATATCTAGTTTCATTGCCATCTCACTTGTCTTCCCTTTCTTCTCGAGTTCAAAATAATGGTAGCCTTCATGGACGACAAATAGATTGTCCTTGAATTGGCGGTTACGGACAAAGGCGTTTTGGTGGTAAAAAATTATGTCAGGAAGAATGACCTTGAGACGATCGAATATATGCAAGCACTGGCGGATTTTAGATTCTAGCTTCAGAGGTAAAAGATTGCATTTTTGCTCACAAATGTTTTTCAAATTGCATTTAATTCACCATTTGGTGTGCTAAACCTGCATTTCATCGAACACTTAATGAACATAATGATCTCGTATCAAGCATTCAAAGAGTCCTAAAAGGCCTTCACCAACTTCTTTTCCGACCACTAGAAACTCCCAAAACCACCTTAAGTCCTTATGTGAATCCGCCATCTATGCAAGTCCTCCTGGTGGAATGAAAGAATTTGCACATAAATTGATATACATTGTCCTCTGGTCTTCATGAGGGATTTTTCAGTGTAATCGGAACACATAATGATATATCACGTGTCGCTATACAAATAACGGAATATGTTGTTAAAAAATTAATAATTTATATATTAAAATTTCACATCATTTATATAAAAACGTGTAGTATACTACTTGTATTCTGGTTACAACGAAAGTCGTTATTCGCAGATGACTAATCAAATTGATTTGGACGGTGCAAAGCTTGATTTTAGACTTTTTAGTAAAACCTCTTGTCTTGAAAACCTTTTCGATATCCTATATACGAATTCCAAATGGGTATAAGGACACAAACTTAGAGTTTAAGAAGAAATTTTTTTTTTCCTAACTCAGGAAAATGTCCAAAACGCACAATGCAACTACTTTGACCTCAAAAGAAAAAAAAAAATTGTTTCCGGTAAAAACAAAGAAAAAAAATATATATAAGCAGACCGAAGAGTCTGAGACATTAATTATTCAATGTTGGGGGCTATCTTTTACATGGTTTTCGTGCCATTCCACGTGTCCATATACAATTTGACTTGGAAAGCTGAAATGCAGAAAGCCACACACGTGAATCACTCTCAAACTTAGTGAGATCTTTCACTGTGCATGAAGGATAGAGCGCTGGAGTAGGATTCTCTCATCTTTTTTTTTTCATCTTCTTCCCTCATTTTCTATTTAAACGGTCAAAGTTAAGTTACGTTAACATCTTATATTAATTTTTTATAGAAAGAGAAAGATAAAATAAAAGATATAAGAGAAGAGAATGGACGATGAAAAGAGTAGGAGAAAGAATCCTAATCCTAAAGCGCTACGCCATATGTTAACATTTAACATATGTGTCATGTATAGCAAACCTTAAAACTTCAGAATACGAATCTCTTATCTATCATGGGTTATTAATAAAAGTAATGCTGGTTAGATCAACAATTTAGATTAAATTCAAATCATGTGATGTGTCATAAAAAAATAAAATAAATACGTTAATTAACATTTAAATAATAATTGAATCATCAACAATTAAGTCATACAATTTATAAAATTCAATTTAAATAGTTAATTTGCCTACCATTATCGTAAATAAATTTCTGTGTGTACTCCGTAAAAAATATCTTTGTATAAATCATACTTTTAAGTGATTTAAATATTAGCAAATCATTCATCTTTATTGAATACAAGTCAATGAAATTGACTCCTTTAAATTATTGATAATCCTCCATAACAGCAGTAGTAAAATTAAAGGAAAACTAATGAAAAGAGCTTGAAAACTTTGAGTTTTAATGATAAGGACAAAATAAAGGGTAAAGTGAATAGTACCAGGTTTGACTTTTTAGTGTAAAAATGTGGTTTTTCGTTAAAACTCCCTAAAATTAATCATATTAATGACAGTCTCTATCTCTAATATAGCTAGCTCCTTCTGCATACATGATCAAGATCTTTTGCACTCAAAATGAGTATGGCTTCTCTGTGGTTTCAATTATAAATTGACACATATTAAGTTTATGACAATAAAATTAAAAGAAAGTTAATTTTATTAATATGTGTCAGTCAATAATTGAGGCCGCATAATGACCACGCCCATTTTAGGTGCAAGTAAGCCAATATTTATGTGTCTATATTAATTGCCAATAAACCGTAAGTTTATTGGTATTCTTGTCCATTTTTTATCTTCAACTCATATAAATAACAAATTCAATAATAAATTATTAACCATGAATTCGATATCCAATCATGAGCCACCACTTAACACTTAATTATAAGAATTCGAGTAACGCTAGATTTATTATAAATTTTCATATTACGTTTGTACCACATCTCTAATAAAAGTAGGATCTGTTAACACTTCCAATCTTTATTAGAGATGTGAAAAGTTTTAATGCGTTGGGAACATCGCTCAGTACAACAAGTGACATATTACAATTAGTTAAAAATATTTTTTATTTCAACCACTTGTATTATGATATTGATATACCGAACCGTATTTCTGACATACTGAAAAATCTCATATGATAAATGATACAAATATTTTAGGGTACGGTCGGTGGTGACACCCAAATTTATCCTCTATTTCCCCCCTATAAATTCATAGAACACCGGGCACATGATCCCTCACACTCCTCTCGCAGTTCGAGCGAGTACAGTTCCCAATCTATACCCCAAGCGCGTAGCACCCCACCCTCTCACTCTCAGAAACCCAGCTATTTAATGCTTTAGGTTGACAGGCTGGTTTCCCGGTAAAACCACCCGCAACTCCGACTCGCCCATCAAAATACCATTCCGAACTCCGACCGTTTCCTCGAACTCTATCTGATAAAAAAATGGAGGTGGAAACTCAGGCTCAGAGCCTCCCAGCCGCCTTCGACAACCCTTCCTTTTCTTACTCCCACAACGACCTCGGTTCCCGCGACTTCCGAAGCTCTGAAATGCCCCGAGTTGACCCGAAATGCGTTGCCTCCGACGTGCTGGCTCCGTTGGAACACAACGGGGCGAAGGCGAGTGAGACGGACGCGCCGGGCGGCGAGTGGTCGGAGTCGACTGCCGCGGTGAAGGTTCAGAAGGTGTATCGGAGTTACCGCACCCGGCGCAGGTTAGCCGACTCCGCCGTCGTCGTCGAAGAGTACTGGTGAGTAAGAAAGCACCAAATCTCTGTGCTATGTCCTTCTTATCTTTCAACTCTTTCAGTCTTCAGTGCTCACACAGAAGCACGAACATTATGTAATTAGCTGAAAAATGAGGGGTATTTATTGAAGGTGGCAAGCGATAGATGCTTGGAGATTGAACCGCAGTACGATTTCGTTCTTTGATCTTGGAATTGAATCTGCCATTAAACGATGGAACCGTGTTGGCAAGAATGCTTCTAAGGTAAATTTTTTGTATTTTTTTAAATTATGTTTTAATTTCTGGGTTTAGATCGAAAAAGATATATAATTTGTGGGGAGTTGCTGTTTTTCGTATTGAAAATGATTTCCGCACACTCCTATGTTTACTTCAGTCTCTTGGTTCTTAGTAAAAAAAGGCGTACGTAAGAGCAAAACAAAAGAGCGTGCGGAAATCACTTTAGTTATCGAATTTAGGTGTTTTGTGTGGTAAAAATGCGAAATGTAGTGCAATAATGTTGGGCCTTATGGCAGGTGGGCAAGGGGCTGTCCAAAGACGCCAAAGCACAGAAATTGGCTTTTCAGCATTGGATTGAAGCTGTAATTATTTTTCTTAAATTATTTTTTTCGATTTTTCTTTTCAATTTTTAAGTTTTACTGAATGGTAATTTGCGTGTGTAAAATTCAGATTGATCCAAGGCATAGGTATGGTCATAGCCTGCATGTGTATTATGAGGAGTGGTCTAAAGCAGATGCTGGTCAGCCATTTTTTTACTGGTAAAGAAGAGTTACCATTTGCTTAAATTTTTTTTATTTTTGGTTTTGGTTTTTTTTTTAATTCTTCTTTGCAGGTTGGATGTAGGAGATGGAAAAGATATTGACCTGAAAGAATGCCCGAGATCGAAGCTTCGACAACAATGCATCAAGTATCTTGGACCTGTATGTGCTTCTATGAATGAATTCAACATTACACGATTTATGAAATTTTATGTTCTTTCTTTTAAAGCTTTTTTATGGTTGTGGATACTGTTGATGAATTTAGCAAGAGAGAATGCATTACGAGTACATTGTTGAGGAAGGGAGACTTATTCACTCGCAAACCGAAGAGCTTCTTGATACAAAGGATGGATCGCTGGGTGCTAAGTGGATATTCGTTATGAGCACATCTAAGAAACTCTATGCTGGCTTGGTAAGAATTGAGTGATATAATATTCCTGTGTTTCAATTTTTCTGTTGTTATCCTGAAAATAGCTTAATACATTGTTGATTCTTTCAGAAAAGGAAAGGGGTTTTCCATCATTCTAGCTTCTTGGCTGGAGGAGCAACGATAGCCGCTGGAAGGCTAGAGGCAGAGAAAGGAATTCTGAAGGTAGTGTTTATAGCGGTTATCTTTGATCTTTTCGCAAACAGAAAGGAACTTAACATGCACAAGCAATATTTTGGCAGTGCCAAATTAAAGTACCGATGAAGTATGTTGGATTTATAGCATCTGATCCTTATATCGTTGATTCTTCAGTCAATTTCTGCATATAGCGGGCATTACCGGCCAACAGATGACAGGCTTGATACATTTTTATCAGTTCTCAAGGAAAACGGGGTGAACCTTGATGAAGTTAAGGTAATTGAGACAACATATGGTTCTTTTAGTGCTTTTATTCTAAATTAGCAACCTGGAAAATAAAACTAGGATTACCACTAATTGGTAACACTTCGGTGAACATTAGGGATTTTATGGTTCCATGTTTTCGTTAATCGCATTTGGCTAATGGTGCGTTTAAACTCTCTTATTCCCCAGATACGCAAGGCAAGTGACGATTCTGATAGCTACGATGATGGCAAATCTAATGGCGGGACTACATTTAAAATGCCAACCAACTTTGAAACTCCTCAACTGGAGATTCTAGGCGAAGTTGAGAAAACCCAATCTCCAGAACCAACTGAACTTCCCCAACCGGAAGCCAAACCTGATTACCAAAGGACTTTATCCGGAGGTCTTCAGAGTCCAAGACCTGAGGTGCCTAAGAATAAGATACTGGAGAGGATCAACTCCAAGACCTCAGCGAAATCATACCAACTCGGGCATCAGCTATCACTCAAGTGGTCAACAGGAGCTGGCCCGAGAATTGGTTGTGTTGCTGACTACCCAATAGAGCTGAGAACGCAGGCCTTGGAGTTTGTTAACCTATCTCCGAAGTCTCCCCCAACGCCATCCTACAGGCGGTTCCCTTGTCTCGCTTCACCTACATCTGGTCTCGCATCACCTACTTCTGGTCTCGTGTCACCTACATCTGGTTTCGCATCACCTACATTGAAGTCCACCTCGGATGTCAATAACGGTGTTTAGACAGCGTCATTTGGTGATTGAACTGCACTAATCATCGCCATCATCATTAGTTTTATGCACCATGCCTAATGGATGTTCTAGAGAATGTAAATAATTGCTTCTCATCAACTTCCTGTCAAACTCAACTTTTGTGAGTAATGGTCAAGAGCATTATCTTTCTTACTTACATCTTGTCATGTTTTCATGGAGTCACTACCGCTTCTGTTTATCCCATTATTTGACAAGTGAACTGTAGCTAGGAAAAGTTTGACATTCACTTCTGGATTTTTGTCTGAAACAGTTCCTGACGCTGAAAAGTCATCACTTTCGTTCCTGACGAATACTTGGATTGACTCAGGCTTATCTGACTCAATTATTACGGGTACTTAGACCAATTAGTGTGAGATTAGTGCTCAAAAAAGGCCCCGTGGCCCAAATAACTCCTTCCAATCAAGTTTAAAGACGTAATCTAACTCCCTGAAAATGAATGAATTAACAAAAGTTCCAGGATATTTAAGGGCATCTTATTTCTTAGCATCTTTTATTTACTCTTTAGGTAAATTTAAGCACATATTATTTGAACTTTAGCTAGTGTGTAACTTGACTGCCTAATTTTTCTAGGAAGTGGTTTCCGCGAATCTTCCCGCACACCTTTATTTAATTTTGATCTTTAGATTGAATAGATCAAAGAAGAATCAATGTACAAAAATACCAAGGGTGTGCAAAACAAGAAAATAAACGTATAAAAATCATTTCCCAAATGCAGTTTTTGAACCAAAAAGAAAAATAAACTCCAAAGATGTTGCACAAGAAAGAAAGAAAGGGAAGCTCTTAGAACCATAAAAGCACTAATCATGAAAGAAAGAAAACAAAAAAGGGAAAGATAAACAAACAAAAAAAAAAATCCTCATATAAATTATGTTATTAGTTCTTTCATCACATCTCATTGGCTATTGCATGATTAGTTACATGATGAAGCAGATAAAAACATAAATGTATACAATTAGTTACACGTATGATTTTCTTCCCGTAGATACATATAAAATAAAAGAGTCGTTATTTAGTCATGCGTTAAGAACCAAATAAAATATTGTTTGCTAGGTCTAGATATTAGGGATAACAATTAATTGCATGATTTGTTAACTTGAAACGACACGACCCGTTAACAAATCAGATTATTATCGGGTCATCTGTTAAAAACCCCTTAAAATAACAAGTTTGACATAACACGACTTGTTAAGATGATTAGTATGACACAAAAACGACAAATACGACTTGTTTTCAGACATAGAGGGATGCGTTGGTACTACCCATTTATTATGTTATAATTGGTTATAAGTTGTGACCCACGTGATTGGTCTTAAAACCAAGCAAAACTTTAGAACCCTCAATTAGAATTTAAGTTTTTATAAATGCGTGTTTGGGGCGACCAACTCTACTTTGATATATCGTTTGATCCAAGTGTGCTATTGAATTTTATAAGAAGAAAAATTAGATTGTCATCAATGTATAGTTGGATACCTCCTGTATTTATTAAAAAAAAAATCAGATTGTAAAGTAAAAACGTTGTTCTTGAACTACTTAATTTATGGTGTAATCTCATCAATCATGAAAAACTAACATCTTGTTATATTTATAAGTTTTATTTTTGTGTTAGAAATATCGAGGTTAATACATCGTAGAACTGATGATATAAAAGAGTGGTGGAGGATTGTGGAAAGATATAGAAGAAATATGTAATGAAATGTAGACAAGGTTAAAACTAAAAATCAAAATTATTTTACGTTGAAGACTTTAGTTTAGTAAGTTGGCTAGAATTGTATGCTCCAATTTTACACACTAATTCGAATGCTTTTGCGTAGGTTGAAGAACTCAGTGTAATTCTCTTATATATTATGTCTCATTTATTTTTTCTCATCCCTTCCACCGCTACTTTTCATAAGCTAGAGGACAATATTTGTGGACGGATGAGCGATCAGACCGCCTATAGGACAAGTATTGGACTGTTGGACGATCAACAAGCAATACGTGCAAAAAATGACTGTCACAAATATAAGAATGTTTCGTTGGATGTGTGGGCACACGATAAATGATATAATTAAGAATGAGGATATTTGAGATAAAATAAGAGTGGTCGAAATTAAAGATGATATGATAGAAAATCAATTTAGGTAGTTTGGACATATGAACTAAAGACCTACATATTGTTGGAAATGTGCCCTAAAGCCAATCATGTGATGATACTTTACGGACATTTCACATGTTAAACTAATCTAGTTTTACATATAAAGGGCATACATTATTGTTTGAGCCGTCTCATATAAATGTTATATGCTTAAACAATAAAGTCCAAGGAATTTGTGATTGGGAGAATGTAATCTAATGAAGTTAGATTCTTGAGACCATTCTTTCGTAGACACATCCTAAACGTTCCTGATCATAGGATTGCCAATTGGGCATTGACAGTCCGTCAAGATCGGTACGTACTATGTCTTCTCTCAGGGAGAGTGATTAGTCTCTAGTCATTGGTGTGTGTGACATCAAGACAAGTACGGTAGGTGCTCAATAGAGAATGAGTTCACTGAACGCGATCAACGAAGAGTTCTCATATTCCATGTCACATGAGAACTCATGGTTGGGATAATGCAAAGTAGTCCTTTGACCTGAGGCATCATAGTTGTCTTGTGGTTAAGACCTTGATCTTTTGATTATGTCAAAGTCATCCCACCAGGAGGGTGTCCACGGGCATCGTTGGGGTCAAGCCGCTTAGCTATGGAGACAAGTGAATGCGCAACAAGGGATCTCTAACCTTCAAACCGTTTGAAGGAGAATACTCTCTGATATGATTTGAATCTCTGGCCAGAGTATGAATGAGATTTGGGAATGCGTTCCTAATCACATTCAAGGTAATCATATAAGCACAAGACACACATTGGATAGTAGACATGAGAAAATAAACTATCAAACCAAACAATGTGGTCAAGAGTATTAGATTAGAGAAGGACCGTATTGCATTTGTAATCCCAGACTGAATAGGTTCTCCACCTCTTCTGATTAGCTTGGGTAACCATGACATACGGCTAGGTGTCACTCATGGTTTGTGGAAGCCCTAAACGTGTGTAATCACTAAAGGGATAATTGAAAATAGTTTCAATTCACAATCGATGTAAAATGGTTTTAATCGCCCACTACCTCGCTAAAAGGAACCTAATGGATCGTACACCGTGTAAGGTAGAGATGGACGAAATAAATGAAATGAGTAAGATTAATTGAATGGTTTAATTATTTATGGCAATGATTAATTAATATGTTAATTAATCAAACGAATAAGTTCGTTAAAGACCACGGGATAGTTTTGGACCTTAAGGCCCAATGGGCTTCGAACGTCAAGCCCATTAACTTAAGTTGTATGACAATTTAATGAATAAAGATTCATTAAAGCCCAAAAGCCCAAAAATCCCTAAATGGCCGGCCATAAGGAATGAATTAGGGTTTTGGTTATTTAGGTCACTTAAAGAAGTGACTATATAAATGACTTTATAACTAAATATTCATTAAGTGAAATAAGGGTTTATTTTTGGGGAAAATGGGTGAGAATTGTCTCTCCATTTTCTCTCTAAAGAGGCCAACACCTTGGAGGTGATTAGCTAGTCATCTAATCCTCCAAGGTCACTCATTCATCATCCAATCTCTCCTTGGTGTAGAGACTTAGAGGTTCTCAATTTGGGAACTTGGAGAACCTATTCTTCCATCCAAATCCATGGATCTAAGAAGCAAGGAATGAAGGCCCTATCTCTTTGGGTGATTAGCCTTTGCTTATGCAAAGAGGAATCTACAAAGGTAAATTTCAACTCACTTTGTTTTTGAGTTGATTATTGGTTCACCAATCTACTAGGCTTTGAATTTCATGGTCATGTTTTGGTTTTTGAGTACATACAAGCATGATTCCGCCTTTAATTGTTAATTGCATGCTATATGATGTTGCTCAAATGAACATGTTTTCCCAAAAGATTTCCTTCACATATGCTTGCGACTAGGGCCGGCCAAGGCCCAGTGCAGGCAGGGCGACCGTCCAGGGCCCAAAAAAATTAGGGGCACCAAAATTATTAGGGTGGTATATTTATATATATTTTTATAAGAGTATAAATTTATAAAATTTGGTTCAAATACACAGAAATTTAACTAGAAGTGGTGGTTTGTCATTTAAAAATAATGAGGAGGTCTTGGGTTCAAAAGCCATGTGTGCTTATTTACTTTCCATTTTTTACAAATTTCTTTTTATAAGAGTATAAATTTATAAAATTTGGTTAAAAAATCAAGAAGTTTAATTAGAAACAATGATTTTTGTTGTTTAAAATTAACAAGAGGTCCTAAGTTCAAAATGCTATGTGCATGTTTATTTTTTTCAATTTTTATAAATTTTTGTTTGGTTGTTAATTTATTTTTAGTTACTATATAGTAGCTATATGGGTTGTTATTTTTAAATATTTGTTTTAATTCAAGTCCAATCTTCAACAAAGAATAATATATAGACCAAATTTGCAAATTATATGACGTGTCATCAAAATGTTTAATTTAGTGCCCATTCATTAATAATACGTATCAATTAAAGAGTCGAAAACATCATTATTTTTTCGTCCCATATTGACAAGGTTAGTAAATAAGAAAAAAACATCTCACGATTTATTCAAAAACACATTCAAAGTTCAGATGGAAAACAAAACTCATCATCTATCTACTTGTAAGCCCGAAGTTTTTTTGTTTCCCTCTCTCAATACAAAATAAATTAGTCTTTCTGTGTTTCTAAATTATTGAGTTTGAAGTGTTTTTCTAAGTATAATTTTTTCAATGTCTTATGTGTGAAAATAAATAATTTTCTTACATAAAGTTAGGGCACTTTTTTTAAATCGCCCCGGGCCTAAAAAATCTCTAGACCAGCCATGCTTGCGACTATGAGACGGAGACTCAGGAAGACCTAGGAAGACTTAGAAATAGATTGTAAGAAAAGATATGGAGTACAATGGAGTTAACGGAAAACTTAATGCAAAACCAAGTGAAGTGTAGTTTTAGTATTCATACAACCAGCTTCACTTATTAAAATAAAACTTGATTGTTGTTATTGTATTCCCCCCATCACTATTTCTTATATCTCAATTATTCTACACATATTTTATATAGGAAAACTAATGAAAAGAACTTGAAAACTTTGAGTTTTAACGATAAGGACAAAATAAAGGGTAAAGTGAATAGTACCAGGATTGACTTTTTAGTGTAAAAATATGATTTTTCGTTAAAGTGAACAGTACCAGCTTTTCGTTAAAGTTCTCCTTTTATATTTACTGACGAAATAATTATCAAATGAGTATTAAAATATTTAACGAAAATTAACCTTAGACGGTAGACATGGACATGGGCAGTCAACTCAAAACAAAAGGACCAAGGAGACCCAGCAAACCAACAGCCAAGCACTGGGACCCAACACGGTGACACCGCAACCTTTTTTACTTACCACTTCAGGTGTCGACTGAAGATAAAAAGTAAAAACCCACGCTTTTCACCGCGCGGTAACAAAAAAATATCCACCTCCCGATTCCACCCACCTACACGTATCCACCTAGCCACTCGAATTAACGGCATCGAAAAAGCGCAGAGTAGCCAAAAGTCCACGTGTACATTAAAGGCCCTGCCACGTGGGCGGTGCCTCCCACGCCCCCCACGTGCGAGGCCCTGCTTGGGCCTTCGGCTAACGTGGCGCGAAGAGATATATGGAGCTCGATTTTGCGAAGACGTCGTGGCCTGAGGTGGCTCGACAAGTGGCACTCTCTCGCTAACCCTGCGGCCCTACGGCCCTGCGGGTCTTTTGCTTTCGAACCAGTAACCCTGTGTGTCTCTCTCTCCTCTCTCCTCTCTCCTGTCTCCTCTCTCTAACTCTGTCGCTTCGGTAGCTTACCGTATGCTGAAGAAACAAGTACGAGCTCTCAGTCGCGCAAATACGCAAACACTTCATCTGCGTGCGGTTTTGTTGTCGTGTTTTGTGAGAGAGGGGAGCCATGGTTTCTTCCGAGGGGCGGTCGTTTTCGAGCTCGACGGGGTCCACGGCGGCGGGGTCATCGTCGTCGCCCGACTCCGGTTCTTATTCGTCGTCGACGAACGGTGCGGTCGAGAGATTTGGTGGAAGCGGCGGCGGTGTGGATCGGATGGTGAAAGAGGAGCTCGAGGCGGCGGAGGCGCTTGCGGATTTGGCGCATTTGGCGATGCGCGAGAGTAGCGGCGCCGAATCCGCTGGGAATTGGGGGCTGAAAAGGAAGCGAGCCGGGAAGCGAGTCAAGAGTGGGTCTCCGCCGAGTCAGTCGGGTTTGTACCCGCCTGACCCGGCTCCCACATGTCCGGATCTTCCTCAGGTTCGTTGCCTTTGTTGCTTATATTTTTTTTTTTTTGAAATTATCATTTATTTTGATTTATTGTTTTTGAAAAAGTGGGCGTTGAAACTTGAAAGAAAAAGGAAATGGGTTGTTTTTGTATTGGGTGAAATTAGTATTCTTACTTGTATTGGAAAAGTTCAAAGATCCTGCTGACTTGAATGTTTTAGGAAAATGATGGACTTTTAGGGAAGAATGGCAACGTATCCGTTTGGGGATTAAAGTTTGATTCTTTGTATAAAAATAGTAAACATGTTTGCAAAATAAGATAATCCTTTTTCGGGGAAGGATTCCGATCTGTGTATGCGTCAAATTTACTTTACCTTCTGCCCATTGAGGGCTTGATAAGGCTAGATTCAAATACGAGTTTTGCGTAGTTCAGCCACCAACAATTTGGATGCGTAATAGTTCACATATGGCCGGAATTTAATGTTGTTTTTGTTAGGATTGGAGACAAATGAAGTACATTGTATTGGGACCGCATCCATGGCCAGTTTAGCTTGAATTGTTCTTCAAATTCGCACATAACACTTCACCATCTGGATTTGTCTAAATATGGTTAGCCACCCCAATTTATCCCCGCGGCGGGGTGAGAGTCTGTTACATGGTGACGCGAATGCTTAACTTCCATATATGAACAAATTCACTAACACTTATGCTACCCAGTCTCCCAACTCCCAATTGTATGTGGGGTTCAGTCACCAAATCGCAATATTTTCTCCTGGATTTGAGACATATTTTTGTCTATATCAGGATCAAGCGGTGACAGGTTTGCGGCAATGTGAAACGGTATGCACAAATGTCGTTACAGAACTGGTGAAGACTGAGCAAGTTCTGAGTGAAAAGGTTGTGAGGGCTGAGCATGATCCAGAATTAAATAAGCCAAGTCCTATATGCACTACAAGTCACCCTTCATTTAGTTGCAGCAAGTCAAGGCGGAATTTAACTGAGGTACTGACAACTTTTAAACTTATTCCCTCTACAGTGGTGTTTTGTGATTACATTTGTCGTTTTAGTTAATCAATATTTTCGTTGTTTAGGAGGAAAAGGAAGAGCGGAGAATACGCAGAGTATTGGCAAATCGAGAGTCAGCTAGACAAACAATTCGTCGACGTCAAGTAGGCTGCTTCACTCTACTAGTTGAATATGTCTCTCTTCTAGTTCTTTTTTTTTTCAACAAATCAAGTTTGTGTGGTATAAAATAATAAAGGGAACTGTGCTTTGTATTGGTTGGGGTTTAGGCAGACGACAAGACTAGTTTCGGAGAGTACTTTTACCTTACAGAACCATGAGGTGTCTAGTCAAGAGCCTCTGTGATGGATCTAGTCCTGTCCTAAGATTGAGAGATAGTCTGTTGTCTGTTTCTTGAGCGTAAGGATATATAATTAATTTGTTCATTGGGACCCTGAAGTGGTTGGTTTTTTCCTCTCCTTTCTGAACTAATCATTTATCACCCAAGGGCCTCCTTGCACTTTCTAGTCTCAGGAATAACTAATGACATGAATGTGTTTAAATATTTTCGATTGTAGTTGCTGATCAATTAATGGCTATTTGAAGTTTCTAACCATAGTATGACAGTATAAATATGCCATTAAAAAGGTCGTACCCAGTGCACAAGGCTCCCGCTTTACGCAGGGTCTGGGAGAGGTGAATGTCGGCTGCCATTGCGGTAGTAAATTATATGCGTGACACGATGCATAGGTTTTTGTTAGCCTTCTCTTTTTTTTTCCCTCTCTTCTGAAAAAATAGATGTTGATCGGTTGTGTTTCTTATTCTCAAATTGCATGGTATGTGTCCATTGCAGATTGCTTTGTTGGATATCATACATTTATACTTCAGTAAATCATTCATCTTTGCTTGTTCTTCAGGCTCTATGTGAGGAGTTAACCAGAAAAGCTGCCGATCTGGCATTGGAGAATGAAAATCTGAAAAGGGTAGGCATTAGTCCCAAATGAAATTTATAAACTTGATTTGCTTCTTTCTCCCTCTCCCTCTCCATCTCTCTCTCTCTCTCTCTCTCTCTCTCTCTCTCTCTCTCTCTCTCTCTCACACACACACACACACACACACACACACACACACACACATACACACGTATTTATAACCATCAGTCTATCTATCTATCTGTATGTTCATTCTCTCATTCTTATATTTATAACCTTTGGTTCGTATATTCGAGTCTAGAGATTATCTAACATGGAAGTACTAACCTTATTCACATCTTTGAATCCAAAGAAAAAGGAGCTAGCGGTAAAGGAGTTCCAGTCTTTGGAGAAAACAAATAAGCACTTGAAAGTTCAGGTAAAGATATGCCTGACACTTTGAAGAGCTGTCTTATCTTAATAAGGTATCGCATGTTTGACATGCTCTCTCATTTTGCAGATGACTAAGGTGATAAGGGCAGAGGATGAGAAAACAGCAGGTGAAAATATGTCAGCCTATGTGCAGATGCAGATACCTCCGTCTTCATCTACAAATTCCCCGTTCTTCTTGTTTAACCGTCCCCCATTTGCACCACTTTTCTGGCCTTCTATCATCCAGGCTTCAAACTCTACTCAGGTCCAGCACATACCACAAAATCCAATAGCCATTCCGTCAAACATCTCATTGCCGGCTAATGGTGCAGCTGACTCTTCTCTTGAACAAAACCCCTCAAACATCAATGGAGCGAGAGCTCCTTTATATGTGTTTCCGTGTCCTTGGTTCATCCCTCACTTTGATAATGGGAATGGACTCCAACCCCAGTCTTCCTTGTGTTTGAACAATAAGCAAGAAGAAACTTCTTTTAATAACCAGTTCAGTGCTAATTCATCTTCAAGAACCGTTGCGCAGTTGGACAACCACCAGTCCTCTTTCCCTGTTAGATTAAAAACAGAAGATTCCCCTTCAATTGAAGGCAGACCGTCATGTGATCTTAACGAGACCCCTGCTCAGTTTCCTCTGGATGGAGGTGATCAGCACACAGGACCTCACCCGATGGAAAATGGTTGCAAGGAAATATTCCCTTCTGCGGCATCACTCAACCATTCCGGAGTTGCATCTTGTATCAAGAATGAGAACGGATTTGAATCAGATTACACTGTAACAACTCTGAACTCTTATCACAAGTTCTCTGCCTTGCCAGACAAGAATAGTGAACCAATCATCTACCCTACTAGGAAACTCGCAGATGCAAATGCAGCAGCTGAGGCGAGAAAGAGGAGGAAAAATCTCACGAAGCTAAAGAGCCTTCATGGCCGGCAGTGTCGGACACAGTGCTGAGCTTGGAGCCTTGGATACATGTTGACTATAAATTCTCTCATAGTTTTCATGCAGGTCCTTTTACTTTAGGGGGACTTCTTTGAGATTCGAGTCCAGAGCACTTCACCTAACCTTAATTATAACCTTTAATTATAGTAGGTTACTGAGTCGTTGACATAAAAGATGTGGCCTGCAACATAGGTACATCTTCAAGGCGTTTGCTTGTATTTTATATGTTGTTTCGGGGTGCAGACAAAAAACTGGAAATCTTTGTTCTGGCCCTTCAATATGTATGGATAGTTTTTTTTGTTATAAAATAATCGACAACCAGATAATGTAGCCCGATATTGCTTACTTTTCAAGCCAAATCATTGGGAACCATACTGAGAAGATGAATGGCGGGCTAGGCAGACCAGTCCTGCAGTTTTTGCGGCACCTTGAATTGGTGTAGGCAACATCATTCCGCAGAAAAGTACAGATAAATACTCTTCCGCAAGATGTTTCGTATGTTTATGATGCGAGTACAGGAAAAACTTCTTATTAAATTATATTGATCTTTAGGCATTCGATAGCGAAGCAACAGGAAAAAGATAGATGATGATTTCCGGTGTCTAGAGTAATCTCAATTGAGGGCATATGCATTACAATAAGATGAGAATATATAGATTTTGATGATTAAATCCCTCCTTTCCTACTTTAAAATGCGTAGGAGAAGAGTGTTGTTGCTTCCAAGTGTTCACGTGCGGACATGTCATGCCGGTAAATTTCTTTGACGTGCAGATCTGGAACCATCGTGCAGAAGTCTCCGTTTCCCGCATGACTATGTCTAGCAAACATGCCATGCTGGAAAATTCTCGAGCTAGCAGAAATGAACAACTTGGGGGTTCTCTTCGGTTGGTAGACTCGTCATGCACCGAACTCTGTTCTGCTACAGGAATTTCTTGGGAATTTAGACTTCTTTTCTGGTCTTCCAACTTAAACAGCTGCTAGGATTGCTTGACCGTCATGATCAGAGGAGTAGGCTGCCACTTGAGAAGCTTCTTGTGCGTAGAAACCGTTTCTGGTAGTTTGTTGGTAAGCTCCATTTTCATCCTTGTATGCGAATTAGTTGCGTTCTCTCGAAAGAGGCGTGAATTGCTGTGTTTTCTTTGTGGCAGTAGACTAGTAGCTTCGAAGTTTGAACGACTTCAGAAGTAAAACGACAACGCCTTTGTCTGCAACACATGAAAACAACATCACAGAAAACAAATGAACAACTTAACAAAACATATTTTATACCTTAAGATAGACCTTCCTGGATGATCTTAAGCTACAAAGTCACCGCCTTCTTTTGTTGCAGAAACAAATGAGAATTCACATTTTGCACGCCCCCTTTTTTCTTGTGGATTGAAAATACACATTTTCTTTCCTACTTATGAGATAATTATAATCTGCATGTAAAGCCATTTTTTTTTTAGGCCTGGAGCACATCTCTTATCTTTGTTTTGTAACTTGACCCAATTCGTATGAATTTTTATCTGTGGGCTATATATATGGTTGTGGTGTTAGACAGTGTACATACGGAAGTATGTCTCTGAAATGAATTCGATACGAAAGAAACTTAGTGACGAACAAATGCTTATTTACAAGCACAAATGAAAACTAATAGGAAAAAAAAAAGCTACCAAATACTGGCACTAGAAGCAATAACTAATCTAAAAGAGACCTAACTGAGATGCTTATAGACTACGATATGGCTCTTAACGTTGTGTTTAGAATCATCCCACTGAAGTATAGCATGCATAACTGTTTCGGTCATCGTCGGGCGACCTGTCACCACAACCTTAAAAGACCTTCTCTGATGCAACTTAGTGAAGGTCAAGGTATTCGGTATGACTTTCACCCTCAGACCATTCGAATTCGCCACCTTCGCCTTGTACACTGAATTACCAAACCCTACATGTGTTACTCTTCTGTAGAAGACTGCTGAAACGCTAGAGTTGTCATTCGGGAAAACCTGAAGATGCATAGAAGGATAGTTGAGGCCGTCTGTGCCTCGTGGAGGTTTAAAGTTTGAGCAATTGTAATTCTTTTTATCTCCAACAAGTTTTCCAATGTCTGTGTCGTTGAAACCTTCCTTGCACAAGAAACTAAAGTAGTCATCTAGGGTTATGTCGTAGACAAGACCAGGATGCACCGCCTTTTTCGGGTTTACTTGTCCTGCTCCTGTGGCTAGCTGGGTATCCACTGTTTCGTTTTTCATTGGTGTAGCTGAGCCAAATGAAGTGAAAAATTGGTTAGTGCATTGCTTTGATGGACTTTATTCTATTGTTTTGATAGTACGGTTTGGGAAGACTAACCAGTTGTCATGAGAGCGGACTTGATGGCAGCAGGTGACCAGTCCGGGTGGAAAGACTTGACATAGGCTGCTGCTGCTGCTACATGAGGGCAAGACATGGACGTACCTGATAACACATTGAACACATTGTGGCGCCGATCTTCTGGGTAACCAGTTATGGATGGTATCTTTGAATATGCAGCCAATATATTTACCCCTGGTGCAGAAATATCAGGCTGTACATGAAAAAAGTACCTGAGTATAACCAAATATGTAGAGAGAGTGAGAGAAAGAGAGAGAGAGAACTGCCTTGAGGATGTTGAGGGTTATCTGTTGAGGTCCTCTCGATGAGAAAGAAGCGACGATGGGGGCGGTCGTACTAGGAGTTCTGGTCTTGTATATGACTGCCGTAGGGTTTCTGGAGTTAGTTCATTCCAAACCACAAAGATAATTAGGTTTTTTCATATTTGAGAAGGAAACTGATTTCTGCCCACTCCTTTTCTTCTTCTCCATAAAAAGACAGGGTTGTGCATAAAGAGAAAAACAGTATATGCGGAAATCATTTCCTTTTGAAAAGATTCATGAGCCACGAAATATGAGATTCAAATGAGCTATACAAAACCATACTTGGTAGAGTTGATGTACTTATCGATCTTGATCCCATCTTGGACAAGGATATCGGTACCAGGGATTATAGGGCTATAGGCATAATCATTAAGTTCTTCACGTGTCATTAGGGTTCCAGCACCCTTTAACCGTTGAATAGTGTAATCCTGATAACCAAAACCTTGGCAGTACACAATCCTCCCCTTCACCAGGTTAGCGTTTAGAGTCCAAGAATCACAAGCACTGCCATTATCATTTTCAAATCATTTGATGGTTAGGGTTTATATTCTTGAAATTGCATTAATTTCCAACAAAATTATCAAAGCGAATTTTGAAGATAGTTGAAGAATATTTCTTTTGAGCATATATATGTTTGCCTTCTCACAACATGTAACTATATAATCGTACTGTATAATATTCGAACGTGTTACAAGTGACAATTATGTGAACACAATAATCTGTGCTAAAACTCTTACCTTGCATTTCCCCCGAATTCATTACTCGTGTTATATGCAAGGGCTCCACTTATAAGAGGATACATCAGTTTCTTCGGCGAATAGGTATTGAGTGCATTTCCCTACAATTGATTGAATAATCAGTTAACTCATCAGACTGCATGTTTATGTGCAATTAGTATCAGTGACTATTATCAGGTTGTCTTAGTGAGAGAGGGAGAGAGACTTACAGAAATCCTCTGGCCATTGCCAAGTTTAACTACAGTCTGTAACTGCCTATCAAGGGTATTAGCAGCCACTGTCATAATCCATGGTGCTACATTCTGCACACTGGCCGGAAGCCCATCATTCCCAGCTGAGCACGACACAAAAATCCCTTTTTTCATGGCATGAAATGATCCGATGGCAATGGGATCGTCCAAAAACCTCCGCGAGTGACCACCAATTGAGATCGATATTAAGTCCACACCGTCGGCAATGGCCTCGTCAAATGCGGCCAAAATATCCATGTCACTGCAACCAAGAGTGCTCCAGCACACTTTGTACACAGCGATGCGTGACAATGGCACGCCCCCGCGTGCAGTCCCTTTTGCAACGCCATATAAGCTGGCACCTTTGACGGCTGCACCAGCAATGGTGGAGGCAGTGTGAGTGCCGTGGCCATCATCGTCGACTGGACTTTGAATGCCCCAAGTACGGGCAATGTTCAGTTTAAAATATTTGGCACCAATTACCTTGCTGCGCAAGAAAAAAAAAGCATATAAATAAGGTTTTCACGGGACTGGTATGTTGAAGAATACAAGAATCTCACCTCGGAAAATTAACAAAACTAAATAGCTCTATTTAATGACTGCACTTCTAACTACACAGGGCTTTGGTGATAAAACCCTCAGACATGTCGTGCTGTACAGGTAATAATAAAATGCAAGTTAATAGAATTTAGAAAACATCGGTGTAGTTAGTAGTATGTTGTTGGCCCGTCTCTTTAAACTAATGATTTAGAGTGAGCGAGAGAGGGAGGGAGGGTGAGACATACTTGTTGCAGCCTGTGAAGTTTGCACCCTTCATACATTTGCCTTTCCATTTAGCTGGGGGTGGTCCGTAGCCTTTATCGTTGAAACTGGGAGCCTGCATGTAAATTCCTAATACACACAGAGTTTGAAAAGGTTACAAATATTTTGTTTCACAATTTTTCAACTTTGTTTCTTTTGCTATTGTCTTTCAATCGGAATAACAGAACACACCGATGAATTGATGATCATTTAGTTCAATGACGTTTAGTATGGAGTTCAAATCTCTTAAAAGACGGTTCTATCAACAAAAGAAAAGAGGGAAAAGAATGTCAGATTATACCAACCTGAATCCAACACACCCACTATGGTATTGCTTTCTATATGAGAGTTCCTTTTATTTGATTTCAAAGGCAACCCTAGGTAATCCCATGACCTTGTTGTATGAAGTTTGCGCACGGTGTTTGGGAACACTGACACAACGCTATCATCATCTACAAATCACAGAAAATCATAAAACATATAAATAGCAGTGCCTAATGATTCGGATAATAATTCGAGACCTAATTAGGGTAGCATCATTTGTTCACTTATTTATTCACTTATATTTCTAAGAACCTGAGAGTGCCTGTGCTTCATGTGGCAACAATCTTGCTACGAACCCATTGAAACTCCTTCCATAACTATGAATTCTTGATTCTCTGGCTACTTTGACACTGAAATTTGAAAGGAAAATGTTCGGTGATCCTCAAGAATAGCTCCGTATATAAAAATTTGAAAAAAAATGGTTGGAAGAAGTTGGTCATTATTACTCTCCGATGGCTTGAGCGAGCAGGTTATGGTGTCTGCTCATGACGGAAATTTCTGGTGCTGGCAGTTCTCCCATGTACACAATGTAAGGCTGTTAGAAGTACAATTCCAAATCACTTTGATACATTGTCACATTTGAATATCATATTATCTTAATTTACATTCTGACAATGTAACATGATAACGTTGTTGCACAAAATGATGAAGAACTGCCGAAAGGAATGGAACATATTATCGTCTGGAACATACGTACCTTCCTACCATCGTCGCCATCCTCACGTATTCCTTCACCCAACGTGGCTACTAAATAAGTACTAAATACAAGAATCACCAGTAGATTTTGTAACATCCTCATTGTATTTCAATTTGCTAAATCAGTGCGTGTGTGTGTTTTTTGTCTCTCTGTCAAACACACAAGTGTAAGGGCTGATTAATTTGCTACAAATAGAAGAAGAGGAGAGAGCTTCGTAACTGACAGTGCATCTTCTTCTCAATGCATTCTCTCTCTCTCTCTCTCTCTCTCTCTCTGCGCAAAATATGGTGAGGGGAGTGAGAGTGAAATGAGCTGGTTTGTCTGTGTTGAACTAAGAATAAGGGACCGCTGTTTTAGTCCAAATAAGTCTGAGAGTTTGGTGGCTTGGATTTTGGATCTTGGGAGGGTATGTAGTTAAGGTGGTTAGCTAGCTACAAACATCAAATGCATACAAATTATCTTATAGCTAGCTTCAGGATATTTACCACTCCTTGTCGGAATGATGAACAGAACTAAAGAAAAATAACCAAAATAAAAGTTATGGGCAATATAGTAAATTAAAAACAATAATTTTACTTTTTTTTTCAAAACCTCACAATCAGTTGCCTCCATTTTCTCTTCCATGTTTTTCTCCCAAATAAAATAAACTTTTATTGACAAAATAGTTATCCAAAAACAGTCGTTAAAGCTATGAAACTTCTTCTGCAACGAAAAATCGTTTGAAGGTTGTCACCAAAAAACTTTAACGATCATTTTATATTTTCTCGCTTTATAAGTTTTATTTTCAAATTTTTAATAAGCACGTGCATAACACCTGTGCAATTGCTATTATTATCTTAACACAAGACTAGAATGTTAACTATTAGTTATTCTGCACAGAACTAAAAGACTAGCTAGTTCCTCATAACGGAAACTCTAATTAATTAATGGGAATCTTAATGAAACACTTCCGGTACTGTTCACTTTTAATGTTAAGGACATTTTTACCTTGAAAAGTCACTTTTTGTACTATTCACTTACATATTTATTTGTCATTTTTATTAAAACTAAAGTTTTTTTAGAACTTTTCGTTAATTTTCCTTTTATTTTTATAAGTGCCTGTACCTATTAACTTTTAGCCTGATGATACTTTTCTTTTCGATGTTGAAAGAGCTCCCAAAGAAATCTGCTAGCATAAGTTGCTTACGAGCGCACGGGGGACTTCCGTCGACGGTGCAGCCCCTCGCTTTCGGTGGTAAATGGTAATAGTAGCATTCGAAGAAATGGCATTAACTAACTCAAAATTTGATTACTTCTCTGTTTCATAGATTAATTTCGTTCTCTCTTTTCCTTTTTACAGACAAAACTATAGACAAGAAACATGGCTTCTCATCTCTTTGCTGTCCACGCCTTATCGACGTCGGACAAAACAATCTCTTGACAACGAATAATTCCGGCTGCCCCTCCATAACACAGCCATCTCTCACTACCCTTGTTCGTGTTCCATCTCACTCTATGCATTGCTACTATTTTGTCAGGAAAAACTTCAGGCTCTTTCACGGTTTCTTCTTCTCGATTAGTCGGCTCTTCATCCATGCATACCGATACTTGGTCATCATCTGGCTTTTTCTTACTGGACTTTGATTTCTTTGCTTTTTTGCTTTCGAGAGAAGCCGCCCCAGTTTCTTGTTCCTGCGGATTAGTCGGCTCTTCATCTATGCATACCATTGCCCTGTCATCATCTGGCGTTTTCATGCTGGACTTGGATTTCTGCGTTTTTCGGCTTTTGAGAGATGCCAATTTTCCCCCAGTGTCCGATTCAATACAGGGATCATCACCAAAACATAAAGCTGCAACAAAGAGACAATTTGACTGAACATTCCAAAAGATGGAACTAAGAACATAGGGTGATTAAAGAAAATGTCGGGGGTTACGCAATTGACAAAGCTTTACCTAAACTTTGATCTTCCGATGTGTTATCCTTTGCCGTCTTATCATTAGTAGTTTTCACTCTGTTTGACTCGGCATTGTTGCAAACTACCTTCAGTGGGAAAGGGGAATTTGATACCGGAGTATTGATGATTATAGCAGATTCCTCCATTGTCAATGACACACACAGAAAATGTGGGGCTCTGTTCCGTCGAGGATCTTTCTCCAGATATTTGGTTGTAAGCTGATTATATGAAAACAAAAACGAAACATTTAAGTATATAACAACTTGCAGTTCATTTGTATCAATTACCAAATCCTAGCATCAGCCTTCGCAACAAAAAATGGGTCCAAGCATCATGAAAAAAATGATGTTAAGCATATCTAGAAGAAAGATAAGGAACGTCTGATAAAGTGATATAAACAGAAGAAGTTAAAACTCACCTGGAAGCGGAGAACAGTTCCGTCTGCACCACAATATGCAACCATACCTGAGATTTGAAAGTGGAGTTCTCCAATTAGAGGATATTAAAAAATGCTGGAATCAGAAGTTACACTGAGAAATCCCACTGCTGTCATGGTCAATCCAGACAACACTTTCGGCTCACAAAGTTCATTTTTAAAAAATTGCAGGCACTGCCACAGATATGAGTAGCATGCTCGCTGTGTGAAATTTATGGTCAATGACAGTGATTTAAAATTCTTGGCCGACAGGAGGCTAAGCATCAAGGGAGAATAGGAATTTCAGACACAGCAACACTTTCCCAAAAAAATTTAGAATTCAGTAGCCAACCCTTATGCAGTTTCAATCGCGTGAGGAATAAGTCCAAACAAGGAAAATTAGAAGAAATGAACGGATACTACTTCATATTATCTATCTAATCTTATGAACAGTATGTTTATGTAAATTCAGCAGTGGAGACTACTGAAGCTCAGAGATCCAGGTACTATATATAAATTTTCTATTTCTTTTCCTTAAAAAGAAAAATAAGGCCATTTTTCGTTTGGGTATGGTTCTCTCAGTGCACTGAATTCAGCACCAGGTTGCAGACGGTTGAGCCATTTGCCATTGGGCCATACTGATATGTACCCTTATGGTCAACTCTGACATAATCATATATATATATATATAAATGCATTATGCACACATTTGTAATTAACTGAAATACCACTCCAGATAGATAAGCACAAGGAAGACCTGTTAATCGCGATGCGAACACTCCAGATAGCAAAGGGCAAACAACTGAGATTATGCAGGCCCGGTTGTTTTGTTCCAACCCTTCCTGTTACAGGGTCATCGGATGCAGCCACCAAGCTGATAGCTTTCATTGTTCCATCATCAAAGGATAAAATAACACACCTACCAAAAAAAACACAGCACCCTCTAAAACTAAAAGTATAGAATACACGTGTACATATGCACACCAACCAGATATTTACACATGTTTCAGACAGAAAGATTGTGAGTACCTTGGATCTGGAAGCCAATTCAGACTATATATGAACCTTGGTAAATGATCTAGGTCCCACAACGGACGGAATGGATCACTGCAAAACCAAAAGTTAAACATATTATTATGAAATGAAATTTCCACTGAAAACCGCAAGCATTTAACTAACTATAAAGGAGGAGAAACTACACAAGCGTAATAAAAAACAAGCCATTATACTTACCACAGGTCCCAAAATTTTAGGCCTCCATGTCCAGCAGTAGCTATAAGATTGACACCCTCTGAATTGTTGTAATTCGCACACAGTTGCATTTCACATATCTGAATGAATAAATATAAAATTGATATAACAAATAAAAAAGAGCCTGAAATAGCAATCTCTACGCCCTATATCATAATTTAGTGACATTCAAAACAACCATTACAACAACCATACCTGCATGGAACTTCAGAAGAAGACTGAAGTACTACAAAAAGAAGTACATAAAATTGATTTCCAACATAGCTTACCTTTCAGCCGGGGCCCAAGCAAGTGCCCTAATTGGATTTGTATCTGCTCTGAAGCAAAGTAAAGGCCTTGTATCTGCTGAACAACAAGTGGAGAATTGAAGCTGACATTCTTTTACTTACTAATGAAGTTAAAAGTCACAACTCCAACACAAATGTAAAACCATATCTACATTTTTTAGGTTCTCTATTAGCCATACCTTGAGATGCATTACTTGCTGAAAACTTCCATAAAGCAACCTGCATTATCGAAAACTTCTTTAGTTACAATATCAAGAAAAAAAGAACAATAACTCAAGAAAGAGACTCCTTCCAACTGGAGCTGAGGTGGGATGGAGCAGATGAAACTAGCAAATTCAAGAACAGATACACGAAATGTTTAGCATTAATCCATCAGATTGCACAACAAGGTTGCCCATTGAGTACTTATCCTACGGAAATCGTTCATCAAGTTAACATGAAATCTTACTCGAAACTATGCAAAAGCATGATAAAAGTCTATAAGGAAAATATATAGAAACATTGAAGAACGAGGTGCAAGAAAATTACCGTTCCATCATGGCATCCAACAAGTAGGTAATCATGAGGTGGTGAAGGTGACCATTCCACAGTAAGAGGGATGCTGTTAAACAAAAGCAACGGATTTCAAATTTCCAGTGAATCATATAATGTCACATATTATGGTCAAAAGAGACATCTGAATGCAGTGAGAAACCCATGAATATTCTACAAGATTATGCAGCAAAAGAAATAGTTCTCCACTGATGATATCTGCCTATGGGAATCTTATACAGCAATCAAAATAAGCTGGGGAAGTTCTGATATGATTTTATAGTTATAAAAAAAAATTGGAAATGATGCTCTCAATTACATGGCAATCTAAGAAAATTTCCAAATTATTGTCAAAAAAATGAGGAATATACTTTCGGGGTACCTCTTTTCACCACCACACTTCAACATTGAGCATCTGAAAACTGGCGCTAATTTTACAAAGTGAGGATCAGTGCCCTCACCACATGAAGAAGAATAAATAACTTCAATTACATGAGGAAGAGGAACATCCCACCTGCATTTAAAAGGTCCAGGATAAGTATGATGAGATAGTGGAACACAAAGTCATTCAGCTAGCGATGATTTGTAAACAACTGTACTCAAATATTATCTTGACTGCCAAGCAAGAAACTGCAAATTCTTTTGAGAAGAGATCTAATAGATATAAAGATCAAGAGGCCGAAACAAAGAATATGTAAAAGGACCTAAAGTGCAAGAAACAAAAAGTATTCATGTACAAACAAGTAGGTTGGTGCCTTACACTTCCAGAGACCCATTTCCTGACAGCACAGCAAGATAGCCCATCCGATGCTTGCTTTTGGAATCACGTTCATTAAGAGGACGCCATTTCACATCCCAGGCAACCTTTCCATGGTGAGCTAGGCATAATGCAATTCGTGGCAATGCTACGTCCGTCGGAACTGAACACCTGGTCGAGCCAATTTCAGAGTAACCATTATTTTGAACATCTTTACTTGTTTGAGGATCCTGTCCAGAATTCTGCAGTGTATGATGATCTGAAACAAGTGGTCCTTTCTCCCCATCTTGATTCAACAACGGTGGACATGCATAACTGTTACGAGGAACCTGTCCTGAATTCTGCTGTGTATGATGATCTGAAACAAATGATCTTTTCTCCCCATCTTGATTTGACAACGGTGGACATGTATCACTGTTATCACTCCCTGCACTTTCGATAATATTTAATTTTCTCCTCCAAACATGTGATTTCCAAGCTGGATCAGATGCAGATCCCACATGTTTGTAACTCTTTCGTTTTTTACCATGATCTTCTTGTACAGCATGCACATGAGTATTTTCAGGAGCACAATCCGTAGAAGGCAACTCTAGTGATCCCTCTGGATATTCAATGGCAGGAATCTCAACATAAATATTGCTTTCATCCAAGTTGTCAACATAATCTTCTGTTGCATACTTTTTAGGTCTTCCTCTAGGCCTCTTTGGTCGAGTTGATTTTTCTTCTGTGGCCTCTTTGTCAGCAGATTCTTCAATTGGTTTCTTTCTAGGCCTTCCTCTGGACCTCTTTGGTTCAGTTGATTTTTCTTCTATTGGCTTCTTTCTAGGCCTCCCTAAAGGCTTCTTTGGTTCAGTTGATTTTTCTTGTCTGGCTCCGTTGTTCTTACTCCCCTGCTTTGGCTTTTCTACTACTGAATGTATGTCTTCCTTATTTACACCAACATTTAAAAGACACCATATCTGAATGGCTCCTCTTCCAGTCAGTGGCTCGCCTAATTTGTGATAAGAAGATCCAGGAGGATGAGCAGCTACGGCAATAAACTGCAAAAGTATGGTGATGATAACGTTGTCATAATATAGAAGACTTTAACTACTTTAACATGGTAAAAGTTCTCTAAGTTGTATAAACCTCACTAATTTTACAAATGTTGCTGACAATAACACAGAGTATCTACTATCATAAACGTTTGAACTCTAGTCCTAAGCTTTTGTATCTTTTCATGATAAGGAAAATGAATTATCACTATGGTCCAACATCAAAGTTCCAACTCATCCAAAATGTATGTGCATTTAAGATTTAAGCTAACAAATTTGGCATTGGCCTCAAACTTGCTAGCATGACTAATAAAATAATGTGAATTTAATGACGTAAACGTAAGAAACTGAACCCAAGAAAGCCTCAAGATAGAAAACCATGCTAAGAATCACCTAAAAGGGACTTTTCATCCATTTGAGAGAAAACTAGTCAAGGGAAGTTTCCTACATTGCTCAAAACTAAAATTTCAGGGTTCACTATTTAAGGCACTTAATACTCTGAAGGAATCTGTTGAAGTAGTTATCACGATTAACTAATGATCGAGAATGTTAACGTCAAATATTACAAAAATAACTTCGTAAAAAGCAAAAGTTATCACATCACATTTCCTTCTATGAGAAGTAGCGATAGCTGTAGACCCTTAAAGTAACAGACTTTGACAATAATAAAAGAAGGAAGGGCCTCAAAAAGACCATGTACCTCGCATTTTGGATGATCATCACTACTTCGATGAACTCTAGGACACCAATCCAACGCCCAAACAGGCCCTCCAACATACATCACAAAGTCTTGGCTGCAAAAATGTATAATGGACATTAGAAGATATATATCAGTGCTTGTTCAGGTGGCAGTGAAAATCCAATATACAAGACTAACATCAAGTTTAAACTTGAATTTATTAAAACAACGAAAGCAACAATCTCCAAGAACTTTGAAACACAAGCACGAAACAACTTAATCATCACAAAGTGCCTCATTGCTAATGCCAATTCACGTACCTCAACTCCGGAGATGGTGCGTCCCCAGAAAGTGCCTCGTTCTGCATTAACATGTAAACCGCAAAATTAGATCAAATGCCAAATTTTGTTTCTCATACGAAAATGAGAGACATTACAACAGCTTATTCTTTGCAAAACTATTAGAGGCAAACCGACCATAAATTCGAATTCGAATATATAACCTTAGGAACTGTTGCAGAAGAAAATTGCCGCAAGTTTATCCCGCCGACGACATCCTTCTCCTCAGGACTTCCAACTCCACAAGCAAATCGAACATCTCGAGGTCCATACTTAAAATCCGCCCATTCCCTTCAACAAAATCGTTTCTTTACGATGAACACAAAAGAAAAAACGTTTCTTTGCAAAATTAAGCAACAAAAACACTAACAACAGAGAGGCATTTAATTTCTTATTACCTTAGGAAGGTAACTGAGGACGATAAGCGTTGAATCTCGCCGTCTTCGACGCCGCGATCCTCCTCCGCCTCGCCGCAGAGCTTGGCAATGGTGTCCATAACTCTGAAGTGATTCTCCACCGAGTCGTCGAACATGGAAACACTAACCCTAGGCCCATTCCTCGAGCCTTCTTCCCCGATTCGAACTGTCTCCGGCTCCCTCCGGCTCAATCCGAACAGGCTCCGGGTCGATTCGAACTGGCTCCGGGTCTGGGTCTGGGTTCTGATCAGTGGATGTTGTTGCTGCTTGGGTTTTTCGCTTGGTCTTGGTTGTTTTCCCGCGTTTCGGAGCCAATAGGACCGCGAGTGGAGGTTCGACTTCCACTTCCTCCTCCATTGCAATATTCACGTTGTCTTTTTGACCATGTCCTTGCAATTGATACCCACCAAATACCTAGGGGTGGGTTCGGATTATTTTAGTTTAGTTTTTTGCTAAAATAAAAAATTAAACCGAAATTACTGTTTGATTCGGTTATATTCAGTTCGGTTTGATTTTGTTTTGATTTTCTACAATTCGATTTGATTTCGTTTGGTTTTTATTAATAAAACCTGGTTGGTTCTTAAAAGAGTGAAAAATAAAATCTAAAAAAATCATAACAAGGAGTTAACCCTTTAGACTCCAACGCTAAATTTCACTAAATCTACTACTTTCCACACTAAAAAGCCAATAGATCACAACATATTCATTAGGCCAATTCATGTTACTAAATAATGACCAAGATTTAGCACACATTAGTTCATTTGGTAACTTGAGAAGGATTAGCAAAAACCCTAATTTTCAAAACAATGGTGTTTTCGATTCGGTTTGACTTCTTTGAGTTCTATTTGGTTTGGTTTGGCTTCTTCAAGTTTGGTTCGTTTTTTTTGTGTTTCAGTTTTTTTAATGAACATTTCGATTTTTTCAGATTTCAGAATTTCGAGCCCACCTCTACACACTTCCTGAGAAATCCTCATGTTGCATCCCCTTCTTTTTATTTAACAAGAAGGAAAAACTCCCCCACCCACCCCAATTTCTGTTTGCCACTAATTACACCGGGGACCCTTGAACTAGATTTGAATTCGAAATTGATGGAGTTTGGGGTTTGTTGAACTAGATTTCGAGGGCATGATCGGTTATAACAAAGATCGTTTGTAACGCGAAAAAGGTGTTATAATTAATGAAAAACTGGTTTTGTCCTAATTTAAAAAAAAAACGATATTCTCTACACTAAATAAAAGGAGATGGGCTTAGCCTTATAATAGGTTAGCAATAATGTGGTTCAAATTCGCCTTTGCCGAGAATGGAACCTAAAACCTCTCACTTACAAGTGAAGAGGAATACTATTAAATCGTAGTACTTAAAGAAGAGTAACCTAAAACCTCTCACTTACAAGCGAAGAAGAATATCAATTAAAGCCAAAGAAATGCAGCATTTCATTAAGCAAATGTTGCCAATATTTATTTCAAAACATTGACTAAAAAAATGTTGTAAAATAAAAATGTCTACCACCACCTTTCACCACCATCCTCACAACCACCCTCACACATTCTCTACCACCATCACCCTCACCCTCACCATGGCCACAACCACCTTGGCCATCCCCGCCACCTCCTAACAACAATTTTCACATCTATCCTCTCACAACCATTGTTATCATAACAACCCCATATCGCCATATTGTCACCGCCGTCACCACCACCCTCTCACAACCATTGTTATGTTAACACAACAACCCCCTGTCACCATTGTCGTCGTCGTTGCCACCACCACTGTCTCTACCATTGCCTCTTACCCCACTCTAGCCACCATATATATCTTGTCACCACTACTGCAGTACTACCACCACCCCAACCACCACTGCCACTATCTTAAAATTATGCTAGTACATGCCCACACACAAAGTGTGTGTGAAATACTTTACTTTTGTTTTTAAAATTAAAAAGAGGAAGAGAGCCAGAGAGAACATGGGAGTAGGAGAGAGGGAGAGAGGTTTATTTTTTACTTTAAAAAAAAAAATAGACATGATACAATCACCTATAGGTGAGGCTTAAAAAAAAAACAAAATTTTGCTTTTGTGAAATTACATTTCCATCCTTAACTTTTTTGTTGTGATAGAAGATAAAAATGTCTTTTTATCCTCTTTGGTTTGACAAAAAAGGTTTCATTAATATGTGATTTAGATTACACGAACATTACTACCAAGGATAATGCTAGGGAGATCACATTTGTAGTCTAAATTTTGTAAACCAATTGACATGAAACTTGATAATTGGATTATCATTTAAATATTGATTAACGTGCTTATTTTTTATTGGTGACACATCATTTAGTTTGCAAATTTAATCTACTTAGTATTACTCTACTAGGAAACATGAATTTATTATTTTTTGACACTTTTATATTAGTACTAGACACGTTTTCATAGTTTAAAAAAAAAAAAAATCATTCTCAGATTAAAAGTACCAAACCCATTCTCAAATTATAAAATGTAAATTTTTATGAATTTACAAAACAATTCTTCAAAAGTCATTTTGTGAAACATTAGCAGACAAGTTTTGCTTGCACCTTTTGGTTGTGGAATCTTGGCATGGCCACACAGGTCTGGTCCTAACCTCATTTGGAACCAAAAATGAATTGCACTTTTAAATATATATATACACACACACACTTATATATAAGGATTGTATTAAATATATGTAAGTATTGTAACCAAATTTATATGCCCACAAAATCTTAGAATGGACCTACATCTATGTTCCTGTTTGGGCCCAAAATAATAGTTTGGGCCGAGGGTAGGATCACTCTCGGCCCAGGAGGCCGGGCGGCAAAAGGACCATGGATCGGTCAACCCGTGGGAGTCCAAACCTAGGGCGGTTAGGACGAATCCTAGTGCAATGGGGAGTCTCGACGGGATCGGATATCCAGGAAACTAATCCAGCTTAGCTAAGGACTAGGTTCATAGTCCTAGTAGGTGTAGGATTGGTCGAGGTGATCCGGAGATGGAAACCTAGTCCGAGTAGGATGTAAACTCGGACTCAAGGTTCAGTACTATAAATAGGGGACGCTGTGCATCAGGAAAAGCCCCGACAAAATCAATACAAAATTGCCCTGCGCAAACTCTCACAACTTGTGATTTTTCTTTTTTCTTTTTTCGCTGACACATCTTCCGTTGGCATCAACAGCACTGTGAAGGCAACCAGTGATATCTTCAGTCGGCATAGATAGCTCTGTCACCGTAGAATCAGCCGATCTCGCAGCATCTTCCGTTGGCATCAACAGCACTACGGCGAGGACGACTGGTTACCTATCCAAGTCTCGGTCGAGAAGGATTTCCGAATCCTTATTGGTCGAGGTCATCTCATCAACCTTCTCGGCGAAGTGAGGTGTTACCAGGTTATTGTATTCGGCACGTTGACAGCCGAATTTGAGATTGAACTTCGCAAATTAGCAGCCTTGTCTTCAGGCTCTAGAACCCAAGAGGCCGAGAATTGTTCCTTCCTCGGCCGCAATCGCAAGACATAGAAGTCAACAGCGCGCTCAACGCAACATCAACAAATTTACTCATCGGCCGAGCTCGGCCGACGAGTTGGCACGCCCCGCAATCACCGAAGGACGTAGTTAGCTTAGAAAATACTCGGCCTGCGCGCCACGTAGGCTCTGTAGTTTCTAGGGTCAACATTTTGGCACGCCCAGTGGGACCCAGTGCTAAACTACGAAGTTCATGCCAATTGAAACACGATCGGTAAAAAAGAAAACAGCTATGGGAAAGTCGACAGCCGATTTGCCGAGTCAGAGCATAGGACAGAGTGTGCCACAGGCGCATAACCTCCTTAGCGCTGCGACACCTGAGTCCATGAGCGCGACTCGCCGAGAGAGAGAAGTTAATCTCGGCGGTCAGCCCCGTGGTTTAGAGATCCCTAACAGAAACACGTGCGTTCTCAATGAAGGGATAATAGAGGATTGCGACGAGGATGGTGGTGAAGGATCTGACCCACCAACGAGGTCGTTTCTCCGAAAGCGACTAGACGAGCAGTCTCGGTCAATCGAGCAGACATTTAGTCGAGGCATCGACAAACTGCATGATGCGATAGTCAGTTCTGCTGAGCGACAGAACAGGTTGCTCGAAATGTTGTTTAGTAAAGTCGGTGGCAGCAGGCCTTCCGATCTTCTCCAGCATTGCCCTCCAGGAAACAATCCGTTACCAATTGTACCGGCCGAACCTATTCCTGCTCGCCCCAAACCAATTGAATTGGAAAAAGGTGGAGGGTCGAACAGCGGGTCAGACGGAACCAACCAGAGGAGTGAAGCAGCACTTGTTGATATGACCGAAGTCCAGCGGATGATTGACTCGGCCATGAAAAAGGGGCCGAAGTTTCCTAAGTTTATCCATCCGTACCCAGCTTACGTGGAAACGTTTGGATACCCTAAAGGCTTCAAGATTCCAGATTTTAGCCTCTTTGCCGGTGAATCGTCCTTATCTTCGTTAGAACACGTGGCTCGTTTTACCGCGCAATGCGGAGATGTTAATAGTGACTTTCATAAGTTACAGCTGTTCAACTTCTCATTGACCGGCTCGGCATTCGCTTGGTACATTAATTTACCCCCCAATTCCGTCCAGAACTGGGAAGAGTTGGTCGAGAAATTCCATGAGCAGTTTTATCGGCCAGGAATGGAGATGTCAGTTTCTTCGTTAGCAAAGGATGGCTCAGGCATCTGATGAATCACCAATGGATTATCTTACTAGGTTCAAGTCAGCCAGGAATTGGTGCCGAGTACCTTTACCCGAAGTAGAATTCGTCAGGCTTACTTTGAACGGATTAGACGTCGAATATAAAAAGAAATTCTTGGGGGCAAATTTTCGGGACATGTACGAATTAGCCCAACATGTCGAACAGTATGACTATTTGCTCCGCGAGGAGAAGGTTTCGAAAACGCCATCTCGGGGGACGCTTTACAAGAATCCTACTGTCAACTATGCGTCCACCGAGGATGAATGTGTTAGTGTGGATGCGGCCGAGATAGTAATAGATAAGCCATACGTTTGCAAGGCGTTGACTCAGGTTGATTCTAGAGAAGTCAAAAGTCGCTCGGCCACCGAAGGAGCATTGAAACCGTCGAAGGTTTACACTTTTGATATTACCAAGGCTGACGCAATTTTTGACCAACTGTTGTCCGCAAGAATTATCAAGCTTCGGCCTGGTCACAACATTCCTAAGGCCGAAGAGCTTAAGGGAAAGGTGTATTGCAAATATCACAATTCGAGCAAACATACGACAAACAATTGTGTCGTATTTCGTGACAACGTCCAAAGCTGGATTGATAATGGTAAACTGAAATTTCCCGAGAAGAAGATGGGTATTGACGC